TTAAAAAAAAAAAAAGAAAAAAAAAAGAAAAAGAGAATTACAATACAAGAGAAAAACGATAATGCTTCCACAGTGTTTACTTCCTTTTTTTTCTATATAAAAAGACAGGAATAGAGACATCGTACGGATAGACGGTTATTCAAATTTCTTCCTATGCAGACGTGACAAAAAATCTCATAGAGATACATTAACTCACTCCATTTACTACATAACATACAATATATATTCATATAATATATATATATAATATTCAATAATATATACTAAAAGGTGTAATTTTATATATACAGAGATATAATGTTTGTTTCAATAATTTTTTTTATGAATTAGTAACACTAGCTTGCTAAATAACATTCTTGGACCTCGTGTGTATAGCCAGCACCTTACATTGTTGAACCTTCAGCTCAAATAGAAGAGTCGCCCTTTTTTCGCTTATATTTAAAAAAATATAGTGTGTGGATACTGTGTTTGTATAGACGTACAGCCGTGTGCAATCATACACACGTATGCACGTGTAGTGTACAAATGTGTGTTTGTATATATGTGTACCTCTCCCTGAGCTCGCTCCGTAAAACTTTTTAACATCTTTATCATTTCCGCACTATCATATTTTTTTCCTTTCTGAATCTTTTCACAGCCCTCATTTCGTTTCGTTTTTTTCTTCTTTAAACTTTCCACATACGCGTGCATGCACATTGTGTTAAGTTTTACTTCCCCTTTGCTTTCTTATGATTCCCTTCATCGACACGTATATAACAATTTCTTTTTTTTTCTAGGTAACATATATAATCGTCTAATATACAATAAATAATTTATCGCATTCTTGAATGTACAATTGTTAGCCTATATTAGTTAGGCTATATGTTAAGTAATAGATTCATTTTAATTTTTTCTTTCTTCATTTACTCTTGATTAAAACATATTTAATAACATTTGTGCCGTAGCATTTTTAAAAACTAAATTTTGTACAAATTTGAACGAGCTCAACGTATACATATTATATACATATATGTATGCATATATATATACATATATAATATACGTTGTAAATAGTACGATTATTATTGACGTATATCGTCAAATAGAATAATAAAAAAAGAAAGACCAAAGGAGGACGAAATTACAATATACGGTAGTTGCATAGGTATACCGTACGTGGCAACTGTCGCGTCGACAAAAACAAAACACATCCTCACGCAGCAGCATCCGTGCGCATGCGCTATTCACGTTTTAATATATGTCTCTATAAGTATATATTTATAATACAAGGAACAAACGAAGTCAGAGAGAGGGTATGCTTTAGATCGTCTGGGGGGTGTGCCAAGTAAGCACATTGTGGCAGGAAGAGCTGCTTGATGAGAACGATGATGACGATAACGATGTGTTCTCGCGAAAGATCGCAGCATAAATACACGAATCACTCTTTTCCCGTATAGCTCGCCTCTCGTGCTGCTGTTCCTTCGGTCGAACCCTATCTCACGCGCCGGTACAGTCAATTTCTATAATATCCTTCGGTACATCCACGAATTGATAGACTAGCCTCTGTCCGTCAACTTTTGCCAGGATACCACGCTGATAATAATAACGTAGGGCTCGACCCATCGTTTCATAGTTCATGTCCGGCTTATTCTTGTGCAAACCCCATAGACGAGATACTGCTTTGCTGTCCACCAATTTGAAGACACCTCGTTCGCGATTCGTCCACTTGATATATCGAGGGCAATATTCTCGATCCTGTAGTAATTTTAATAAAAATTCCCAAAGATACGTCGTCGAACCTTCGCGAGATTTCCTTTTTACCGCAGCACCATCTCCTTGACGCGGTTTTTTCAACTTGTTCTTCTTCGATCGTGGGGGAAAACCTAATTCCAGTAGATATAAATCGTCGGAAACCGAACTGGTAGCTGCTTGAATTACACTCGTTGGAACTCCTCCAGGTCCCCGTGGTGGACTAGGGGTACAAGGTGTTGCAAATTGGGCCCCGCTGGCATACATCGAGTTCACATAACTGCTATAGCTCTCGGATACTGTAAACAAAAGAGAAATAATTATGAAGTATGAAAATATTGTTTTAATGTCAATTTTTAATATTACCAAATATTTTTACGTAAATAATGATAATTATAATATCAATTATAAAATATTTATAATTACATAATAAATGACTATCTTTAATTATGTAATATTATATAAGCTTCGCTAGATGGCACTAGTATAATTGTTATCATTAGAAGATAATACAGATTGCCATCAAATTAATTATAAACTTAATGCGATTATGAGACTTTCTTCTTATAAAAAAAATTGTTTTATTTATTTATGAAAAAATTAAATTTTGCATCAGTTTTCTTATACACATTAAGTATTTATTATTTTTAAATATCACATATTAATTGGATTTTCATTCAACTTCCATTATATATATTTTTTCTAACTGAATGAATTATTTATGAAAGCACAAAAAGATATTTATTAAGTATTTGAATTTTTTACATACATTTATTAAAAATTTGATGCTTATAAAAATTTAATATATTATTATATATCATATTTTTTTATTTCAAATAATTTCTTATATGAAGATATACAAAATCATATACAAATGATCATAGAGATAGGATTTTAGGTTAGGTTTTTTAAATTTCGAATGAAATGCATTACATATTTGAATTAATATGTTTGATCAAATCCAATCCTATTCTACTAGTGAGTATTTTTCAAATATATAGATAATCTGATTGGTGGTATCTATATTTTATATTTCAAAACTTCTTGATCAAAATAAACTTATGAATTAACATTGATCAATAATCAATTTGTTGCGTGATATTGAGATTTTCGCAATGCGTCTCTTGAAGTATACATCGTACTTAACCGTGCAATGAACTATTAATAGCTGTTCACAGAGCATCGTTGCCGGTGCTTTGCCGTTTCTGTCACCAGATGATTGATGTTTCAGAACGAGTTCTCGCGGCTTCGTCTCGATAACCTTTTTTCTCTCAAGCGGTCACGATCGATCTCGATTCCGTGACAAGCAGTAAAGAAAACGTGCATTAAATCGACATACAGGTCGAATCGAATACGAGATCTACGAATGTTAGAAATATTGTTTACGCGTCGAAGGAGATTAGTTGCAGCACACAGTTACAACTACATAATTTTACTAGTATAACTGAAAGTATAAACGCGATGCATCTTTACAAACTATTTCTCACATGAACAATTCTATTAAACGATTCTATAAACGAATCGATAATTTCGATCGTAAAACCGCAACAGCAGTAAAATAATCGTATATCTATTGATTTTAAATTTATAAATGCTTTTTTAAGATTTATTTGCGTTTTTCCCCATTCAATCATCGGTAGATTATCAGTATTCGAAGTAGATATATTTTTTTAATCCCGACTATATTTCCTTTTATTAAAATAAATATTTTACATAAATGTGATCTAGATAAAAAATTTCGTTGCAAAATAATTCTGTAACTTCTACGAAAACAAGGAACTCCAGAGATACCTCGAAATAGAAAGTATTCTTACGCCACTGATCGTGTGGCCAGTGCCGTGCGCGCGCGAAGAGAAGAAGAGGTAGTCGGGTAGAGAAGAGAGGGCTAAGCGGAGCCAAATGAAGAGAGAGAAGGATGAAAGGGAACATACGAGAGTGATCACATGAGAGACAGAGAGAGGATGATCAAGATAGAGAAAGAGGATGACGACTAAAAGGGTAGGGGAACTCTGGCTGCAGTATGATAGAGGACTGACCCGAGCCAAGGTTGCACGGGTGACGCCATCAAGCTACTAGTGCATAATAGCGCCGCTCGTTCTGAGGCCGCCGCGACTGCGCTAAAATCGGAACTCGTTCTCTGCATACCCTCCACCACCGTTCTCGGTGCCACTTTCTTGCGTTCTATGCGTCGTTCTTCGTAGTTCCGTGGAGGTGCGCCACGAGGTTGAACGATTCCTTCTCTATTCGAGGAGAAGCTTTTCTGTTTTCGAGCCGATGCCAAAGAGAGAAGCTTAAAAAGGGGGAAAGATAGAGAAAAAGGATAGAGAGAGAGAGAGAAAAGGAATCGAATAAGGCAGACAAAAAGATGGAGAGGCAGGGAACCGAATTCTCGAGGTGCCTCTAAAAATAAAGAGAACGCCCCGTTGTTCTCAGGATCCGTGTATATAGATTATACAAGAGAAAAAGAGGTAGAAGGGAGGACGACAAAGAACGAGATAGTAGAAAAAAAGATACGAAGTAGGAAGAAGGAAGAAGAGAGCGAGTGAGAATGAAAGAGGGAGAGAGAGATAGATAGACAAAGAAAGAAAGATAGAACGAAGATCAAGAGCGGCAGAGAACAGCTGGAGTGGATCGTGTTTACGCGCCGTATGACTAGCTAGATGAGTCAATCGTAGACCCGTTGTCTAGGAGTGGTGTAGTGGGGGAGCTACTACTTCACTGACCTATACCACGGATGTCGTATAGCGAAGGACCGCTAGAGAGACGATGCATCGCGTATACACATGAATGTTTCGTGACGCATAGAATACACTGCCGTCGCTGCCGCTTTATTATTGTACAGAAGAAGAACATAAATTCTGATTTTAACTACGATTTTTTATTGGCACTCGAATATTTGTGTGTAATAGGAATTTAATTGCTTGGAAAAAACGATTATATTATAAATCAAACTGTAATTATTCATTCTATATACGTTTTTTAAACGATATATACTTCCGAATTAACATTACTTGATTGATTTTAAATAAGTAAGAAAGAATCAAGAGGAAGAGGAAGAATACACGAAAAGAAAAGAAGACAGACGAACAAGTGGCTTCCGCTCCGACAGTGATGTTTTCGACCATGTAGTTGGCCGTTTCTTCCTGACAGCAGTGGCAGGAAGTTTAGATGAAGCAGCCGGTGAACAAGTCGATAGTTAAAAATACGTACAAAAGAGAGGGAAGGGAAAAGAGAGGGAAAAGGAAGGATCGAAGTTATCCACGGAGTCGTGGTTCTCGTGTATTTTGCGAGAATTTCGCGCTAGCCTTGCGGCCGGAAGTACAAGTATAGCAAGAAGGGAGGGATACAGGGAGAGAGCGAAAGAAAAAACGGGGAAGCGGGAGGAGATGATCTCGCCGTTTCTGGTGGGGATGTTCAGGAACGTACGAATCGGTAGTAGTAGTGGAAGGATGGGGTAAAGAGACATGTAGAACTGAAAGTGAAGACGACGGAAGAGGAATCTCTGCGTCTCTATATGGAGAACGGATTCTCACGTACATTTTCGTAACTTGAATAATTATTTAGGGAATAAATTTTAGAGAAAAAAAAAAAAAAAAGAAAAAGAAAATGCAAAGATATATATATATAGATATGAAAAAGAAAAAGTTAAAATGGATGATAAATGGTTACGACGATAAACAACTTTATCTTCATTTTATGTATTTCATCGTTTATAATCTTTTCATTTATCTATTATAGAAGTCGATTCAGCAAAAAGTATGAATTTTATTTTTTTCCTTGGCAACGAAAATATTCGAGACTTGTATGTATAAGCAGCTGATATTCGCGTATAATACTTTATAGACAAATGAGAAAAAGAGAATAAAAAAAAAAGAAATAACAGATACGACGGAGACATATATGGCGTTAATAGCCGTGAACCCGTCATTTAGCGAGTTAGTTCTGTATACATATATCGACACCGACATTATCGGCAATTCGTATGGCTAACCAATTGAAGACACAGATACGCACGAGACTTATCGTACGATTTCCTTCGGACGAATTACTGTACCAATAAACGCACCGTTATTTCTTTCTCAGATACGA